GTATAATATTTTTGTCGAAACCATCTGGTAACCCTAGTCTGAAGGGAAGTTAAAACTATAAAACCTGCATGTGGTTTTATACCTATTTTGGTATATTGGTCTTTAAGGAACCCAGATATTCACTCATATAAAATAAATCTTTGGGCCCAAGCCTGCATCATGTGACTTCTAAGTGTCACCTGGAAGATCAGGCTCTTATTCTTGTACTGGATTGTCGAAACCATCTGGTAACCCTAGTCTGAAGGGAAGTTAAAACTATAAAACCTGCATGTGGTTTTATACCTATTTTGGTATATTGGTCTTTAAGGAACCCAGATATTCACTCATATAAAATAAATCTTTGGGCCCAAGCCTGCATCATGTGACTTCTAAGTGTCACCTGGAAGATCAGGCTCTTATTCTTGTACTGGAGAGGGACAGCTTAGTTCACTTGTGTAGTATGGAAGAGCTGGTGCAGAGTAGCATTTACAGGCTGATGATTCTGAGTCTTCCATTTTAGGTAATCCAGTGTCCTTTACTGTGGGTGCCACCTTGCACTCAGACGATAGAAGGATTTGTTAACCCATTCTCACTTTTACATGGTAGTATATAGAGAAACAGTAAGTCCCCACAGTCAGGTCCACTGAATTATGCAAGTAAGCATTGAAGGGGAACAAAAGGGCCTTAAAATTGTAACAATTATTAATTTTATTTTCCAGTAAAATATTAACATAACAATATCAGAGAAATGGAATGGTACAGTTGAATTAGACTGGTTTTATTTAATTTGCACATAAATATTTTAAAATCTAAAAATTTTATGATCAGAGTTTACAGCTTCAGTAGAAATATGATTCTTACAAAGCAAGTATTGCTTTACTATTGTCATTATTCAAGTCAATAATATGACTAATAACCATTCATGTTAAACAAAAATGTTTCTGACATTTTTAGATCTTCTCAATAAATCAGCCCTTTTGCAGATCAATCCAAGAAGAAAATATTATTGAACTGTGTTGCACAAAGTTTCTTTACTTCTTCTGTTAAAAAAAAAAAAAAAAAAGGTCAGAAACGGCACACAGTATTGCAACATACTATATAAACGCTTTGCCTTTTAAAAGAAAACTTGACAAAGCTTGACAAAACTAATTGCATCTAGGTGCAAAAATTACATTTGTTAAGCACATAAAAATGTTTTCTGCTTAAAAAAGTGAATGAGTGTCTTGGTGCATATCAACTCCATACTTCTATTTTTAGTACAAGAAAGGTGGGTCAATTTTGCTCAGAAGGCCCAGTTTGAGAATTCACGTCAGTCTTTTTATGCCAAATACAGACTTTTTACTTGGAAATACAGAATTGGAATTTATTCTCAATTGCTTGAGTCATACATCTTGTTAAAAAGTGAAATTATTTCTGACAACGGCAGAAGAGCCAGCTTCTATCCTTTTTCCCAACAGAGAAATATAGAACTTTTATTGTAAAACAAGTCTTGCTTAATGATTAGAAGAAACACTGATTTATCTTACTTCAGTAAGGAAATTGATTTGTCTCTTTTGCTCTCCTACTTCTCTCGGAGGAGATTAATTTTCAGTACAATGTTTTAAGTGATTACTCTTTAAGTTGGGGTGGAATTATAAACAGTCTCATCTCATATTCCTGCACAATGGGTATGATCCTAAGAGATGTTCAGCAATATAGCTAAACAACAATTAACGGCGCTGAGCACCTTGCTTCATCAGGCTCTTTACCAGCATCTAAATTGCTGGTTTTGTAGTCCTGGGCCACAGCTAAAGGAGTCTTATGTTTACTGAAATTAAAAGTGATTTAACCTCAATTTAAAAATAGGGATGCAAGTGACTAGTCAAGTAGTGTCTTCGCTAGTCACTTACATCCCTTCTCACTCCCCCCATCCTTGTGGCCTCTGTATCAGCTCTTACTACATTAAAAAAGCAGAACCGCAGCAGTCCTGGAGCCAGCACAAGCTGGGACTGCTCAGTTCTGGCTTGTGTTTCCCCCAGGAGTTAGCCCCCTTATTGACTAATTGAGTAGTTGATGGAATTTCCATTAGCTATTCAATTAGCTTATTAACTGCTACTTAATATCCCTATTTAAAAATCATGTATCTGATTTTTTCCCCCCACATCAACTGTTGCTGACAGTAATAAGATGGGATTCTGTTTCACCTACAGTAACCCTGTTCATCTACTGTTTACACAGGTTGAACTATCTGTAGTCCAGAAATATCCATCATCCAGAATAATTTTAATTACCCACTTTTCATGGGTGTGGCTAAGTTTCCTGCAGTCCCATAAAGTTTGTTTATAGCTGCCAGTCCTCGCTCTGTGTTCTAGGTTGTTTTTTAGCTCTAATTTACCCCTAAATATCCTCTAACAGATCATAGTGTTAGGGTACGTCTAGACTACATGCCTCTGGCGACAGAGGCATGTAGATTAGGCTACCCGACACAGTAAAATGAAGCGGCGATTTAAATAATCGCCGCTTCATTTAAATTTACATGGCTGCCGTGCTGAGCCGATAAACAGCTGATCAGCTGTTTGTCGGCTCAGCGCGATAGTCTGGACGCTCCCCTGCCGACATCAAAGGTATTTGTCAACCACCCAGGTATGCCTCCTGGGATGACTTTTAAAGACATAGGCAAGAAGGTCTGGTCTAGCATAGAAAAAAAATCTCATATTAAGTGCATTTTATGTAAAATAGAGAACTAATAAAATCCACTAATAAGCATTTTAGTTATACCAACAGTATTTAACAAATGGCAAAAAAAAAAAAATCCTTACCATTAACTTCAATCAGGTTTGCATTTTTTTGATTCAAAATAACATATAGTTCCCGTTGATCAGACTTTTTCCCAACCACCCAGTAGTCACTCATTGCCTTCACAATGATTTCCTCATCCTCGTCAACTCTGAAAGAAATTTAATAAATCAAATCTTATAAATATTTGCAACATTAAAAAGAAGGGACTTGATAGGCAAAATAAGTAACTTATTTTACAAGCAACAATATTGAAGTAACTTAAAAAACAATCAATGGACCTACAGCACCTTAGAGGCTACCAAAATATGTAGATAGTATCATTAGCTTTTTTCAGCACAACTTACTTCTTCAGATGAATGGAACAAGGGGGGGTCCAGAGGTACAAATAAAAACTAATACTGAAGTAAAGCTATCAAGAAATAATAAGCAAATAGAGCAGTTTTTGTAACTGTAACTGCCCTAACGATTATGAATAAAGTAGATGTTAACTGAATAACTGATCTCACAGACTGCTGTGACGCTGCATAGTTGACAGAAAAATCAGAGACAATCAGATGCATTCAACTAAGGAGACATAAATAAGGCAAGCCAGTGCCAGCCAGCATAGCCTGCACAATCTTCATTTGGGAAAATTTAAATCAGGAGGAAGTAAACCAACCACTTGTTTAGTTGACTAGTGGACTAACCATCAGCGCTTGTAAGACAACTGTTTGGTGTCCCAACAGCCAATAGGAAAATAGTACTTCAAGTATACAGTGCAAGTACAGTCAAGAAATTCCTATAGCTAAACCAGGATTAAAGCACTTTGGAAGATGGTTAAAGACTAACACAAGATATCCTATGACACTAGGGTTGCCAGATACTTTCACAAAAAATCCCGACTATGGCAGACCTTTAAATTCCCACGCTTCCTGCCCCTGCAGAAAAAAAGGTCACTGTGCCTTTAATCCCTGCATGCCCCTGCCAATGCAGCAGGGAAGAAGGTCTCCTGCAGCCTTCCGTCCAAGAAAAACAGAAAATTTTACATGTCCGGTATTTTCCTGTGGCTTTTTTTTATTATTATTATTTTAAACCAGATGGGACCACAAATAGCCCCTAATGGTTGGACTTCTGGTTATCCTAATCTCACAATTTATTCATGTGGAGATATTCTTATCTTCCAATATTTTTTCTGTAGCATGTGAACATCCTAACTCTGAAAACGGTAAGATCTTATTGTCTATAAAACTCTTTTCGGCTGCCCACCTGCTAGCTAGTGTTCCCCCATTTTGTTTCTCCTTTACTTCTCTTTCATGCAGTTTTGCTCCTGTTTGTTCCCTCTGACTTATAGCTTGCTTTCTTCAACAGCATTGATGGGGAAACAGCACAAAATACAATAGATCCAAGCAACACATGGAACAACAGAACACCAAACACAGACAAGTTTGATTCCCCATCACAGGAGAAACTAATTTTTCAAACTTCAAATAAGAACTTGGATTTAGTGTTTTATTACAACTACTATTTGAAAGAGTTTAGTATGTTAATTAGAAGGAAAATGTAGGATAATGTATCCTCCAAATTAGGTTTCATCTTGATCTGTAATAGAGACTAACATAAGCTCTGAAGCATAAATCCCTTCCAGAATTGGTTATTAATTAGCCAATCTGTAGGTATTCTTGATTACAGGAATATCCAATCCCTTTTTGCAATCTAGCCCAACATTTCAGCAACATGAGAGAAAACAGGCAAGAAGGATGGGACAGGACAGACATTTCACTGTATCAAATTAACTAGTGACACAGAAAAAGAAAAATATCTTCTATATTACTTATTCACCAATTTTATATACAGGCAGTCCCTGGGTTACATGGATCCGACTTACATCGTATCCGGCAACCCTGCACTAGCTGCTTCCCCCCAGCAGACCAGGGAGACGCAAAGCTAGTGCTCCCTCCTCCCCCAGCAGACCAGGGAGACACGGAGCAGCTTTTCTCAGCAGACACCTCAGCTTGAGAATAAAGGACTGAGGGAAGTGAGGTGTGGGAGAATAAAACTGAGCTCTGGAGAAATGTTTGGCTAGAGTTTCCAACTACCCCTACAGTATGTACCAGTTCCGACTTACATACAAATTCAACTTAAGAACAAACCTACAATCCCTATCTTGTACGTAATCCGGGGACTGCCTGTACTGAGTTTTGTCGACAAAAGTGGACTTTTGTCGACAAAACTATACCAGCGTCTACACTACACAGGTGTATGTATATATACACATACATGAAAAAACAGTATAATTCAGGAACACTGCTGGAAATGGAGGTTTATTTTACAGAAGAAAAATATAAACAAGATTACCTAGTAAAATCACTGTTGATATCACCTAGAATCTTCATGAGGTCAGGGTGAACGGATGTGAGTGATACACTTGGTGTTTTCCTCATGTGAATTGTACTTTTCTCTGCCAAGTTCATATGATTAAAATAGATAAACTTAAACTGAGGTTCCTTCTCAGACCTAGGAAAACAAGTTAAAGCAAATGGTGACTAAATGGTCTGTGAGAAAATATGTAAGTTACAGATCACTAATCCATGCACAACATGAGATCCATGACATTCAGGTACCTTATCTTAGGGAGTATTGTGCATACATTACTTTTAGGCTTGGCAGAATTCCATGTTTAGGTTTTCTAATTTTGACCATTTATATCCATTTTTATTTTAAAGATTTTGTTCTTTTTCTAAACTGTTGCTGGAAACTAAGAGGGAGCATGCAAAGGGTTGGGGTTAGAGCAGCATTGACAGAGGGGCTGCCAGGGACCTCTTGCACAACGGAGAGGCCCAAGACACCATGGTGGTAGGTGAAGGGGAGGAATTGGCCCTGACTCAGCGAGGCAGAGACCTCAGGCCAGGGCTGCAATGAGGATGATGAAACCCTGGCCACAAGGTGCTACTGAACAGTTCTGACCCAGGGTCACTGAGCAGCAGGGTGACCTCTTCCATAGTCAGAGGCTTTGCCTCTTCCTCACCACAGTCTTGGCTGCTGAGTATTTCTGCTCTGGCCCACCAGAACAGCAGCCTTCCCCGCATCTTGTGCTGCCAGGGACTGGGTGTCACCAGCCCTATGGCAGCACAGGGGGCCTTCTACAGCCCTGCTGTCACAGGCATGAGGGGACAAGGCTGTAATCCTGCCAACTTTTAGTGACTAATTTTTTTTTAGTTGATTTACTGACATCTATCAATTTAAATTGAATCCTGCCATGCCTAGCTACTTTTCAAGACCCCGTGGCATGGTTGACAGGTGGTTTTTGGATAGCCATTGAAATGGAAAACATTTACACCTCCAAAACACTGATACCATTAGAGAGATCTGCATGAATTCCCAGTACAGGAAACAGAATAAGTGTGTGTTTGCGTAATGGCATTTCCTGCCCTTACCAGGACCCACTCACTGTGGAAGACATCAGAACATCTCCCTTTTTCCAGCACTCAGACTTCCTTAGCTCTGAGTTCTCGCACTGCGCCCATGATCTCATATAGTTGGTGGCTCTGAACCCCCACTGGTTGCTGGATTGGTTGGCTACCTGACAGGAAAGAGCATATAGATGCTGGCTGCCAGGGAGCAGGGATCTTTGCTGCCTCCCTAAAGAGGAGCCAGCTGTTGGCGTGGTTGGGTGCTGTGTCACGGATTTGTTTCATAAGGAAACTGCACCAGTTTTTCATTCACCGTCATACTCGAAGTTAGAAAAAGCTTCCGCTCTTTCCTAGAATGGCCAAGCCAACAAGAGTTTTCCCACCCTCCTTTGTGGATTTGGGCATGAGATGATCACTCCCAGTCTGATCTCATCAACTCAAGAAGAAGTTTGACAAAACAAATCTTAGGAATATCTATACAGACTTCACAAAGGAGGATTGATATTGCTTTCAGTGATTGCTCCAACAATTACAATCAGTGAAGGTTTGCTACAGCAGTTGGCACTTCAGATTACACATTAATTTGTTTTGAACTATTTCAACTGAGAGACATGGCGTAGAATAGTTTACTCAACTATCACCTTAGCAGACCAGCAAATGGCTTAAAAGTCTGGATTATCTTGCTCCTTATGTCACCCAAATTCATTAGTGTAAAAAGAAACCATGTAAGGCTATCGGAGGCCCGCTGCATTAAAATTTAAGGGAGAGTTAATTAGAGGAGCTTCCTTTGCTTTAATTCATTATTGACATAAAAATAAGTACTTAATTGCATAGATTGGCAGCATTGCAAGCACATTTTGACTCACTGCAATTCTGCCTGTTTAGTACAGTCACCACACACCAAAGTAAGAGTGTATGCATCTTTGGTATGATTGAGTTTTCTTTACAACAGCAATACTGTAGGGAACCAACAAGTACTCCACATGATAAATATGCCTTTTAAAAAAATATTTAGCACTGTGGGAGAAGTTAATAAGTGCCTCAATTCTTCTCCCAATTGAGTGTGTACCATATAAATCTTGCCTGGTAATTTTCCCCTATTCTTATACAGAACTACCAAATAAACCATTTGTGTGGTACAACTGATTGTTTCAAACATCCTCAGTGCTAACTTTATCATCCTAAATACAACCTTCACATATATTAACCTGACAAGAGTAGACAAATGCCATATGCATTTGCTGAAGAAAATTTAAAATCTAAAGTTCATAATCCTTCAATTTAATGTGTCTATTGCTTTAAATCACCATGAACTATACACTAATTAAGCCACTTCCTTAAGCCTCTATTTTGTAAATGACCACAGCTTCTCTCTGCTGGCCATCATAATGTATGTGCTTAGCACTGGGCTGACATCTATGCTATTACAATCAACCAGATTGTACAGATTTACTGTATAAAACTGCACTTTGCTTTTAACATAAAAACACACATCAAAAGGAATTTGAGAGAAAGCAAACCTACTGTGTAATATCAAGCATTGATTTACCCTGGGTTTTTAAGAGTTAGAAAGGAATAAAGATTTCAATACCAGAGTCCCAGATCTCTATTTTTTTGTGAGAAAGCATTTAATTTTATGAGCTATTGTGCATGTTGATACAGATGGGGCTAGTAAATCTGAACATGAAGATTGCCTTACACTTCCCATTATAACACCATCTTTTAGTCACTTATTTTGCCAAACTATCTGGGCTGACATTTTACATGTCAGAGCTCTGCCTCAATCTGAATTGCACTGGAAAATTTTGGTTCTAAGAAAGGAGGTATGGAAAAATGATTTCCCTATATTAAAATAATTCTGGAGACCTTTTCTTTGAGAAATTATTAAAATTTGGCAGATAATTGCTTTTGTGTAGTGATGTGCCTTTTACCATTTTCCATGAAGATTTGTCCAGACTGGGTTAAGTTACAAGATTTTGAAAAACAGGTTTTCAGATGTTCACTAGAGGCTCAGATTTTTAGCAGCTAAATTCCCTGAAGAGTCAGTTGCGCAGTGGGCATGCCCCAGTCCAGGGCAGAAGGGCTGCAGCTGGACATTCCAACTCTGGACCATGCTGGGACTCGGCAGATGAACAGAGAACAAAGAACTTTGCATCCTGTGCTCAGTGAGCACCTCCTGCTGGGCTCAGGGAACATGGAAGAGGACAAGAGCTGAGCCTGCAATGAGGTGGAGGACAAAAGACTGGGACAGAAGGCTAATGGGGTTGAGAGGGAAGACTAGAACTGGCTGGATAAGACCACATGAAGCTGGAAGGGGAAGACAGACTGGCTGGGCAAGGGGACCAGGAACTGAAGTCATCAAGGGAAAAACAGGGATGGGAAAGAGACTGGGAGCTTAGCAGACGGAAGAAAGATGATGAGGGAGCAAAGGAGATCTATCCGATGTGGATCCAGAGTGTGGGAGAAGAAATGAGACTGACAGAGCAAAAAGACTGGGGCAAGAGGCTGGGGGTTTCCGGTGGAGAACGTGACACAGGACAAGGAGTCTAGGGAGGGAGACTGGGATTTAGAGCCAAGTGTAGATGTGGGGGGTAGCAGCAGTGTCAAGGGGGCCAGTCAATAGGAGAGAGAGAAATTTGATGAAGAGCTGGAGCAGGGCAACTGTTATTGGTTGCATAAGGAGATTTGGGACAAGGAGCAGAGAGTGTGGTTGTGGGAAGGTTAGGGCATGACTGAGCAAGGAGACAGATGAAGTGGCTGGAAGGGTAAAACTAAGGCTGTTTGGGCAAGACAACTGGAACGAAAAACCTTGAGAGCTGTGATTGGGACTGGCTAAGTGAAAAGAATGAGACTGGGATAATGAGCCACAGGCAGGGACAAGAAAAGACTGGGACATATTGGAGGGGATGGAGTAGAAGGGTTCAAGCTTGAGGGGGAGATGAACAGGCAGAAGAGTAGGGATTTTTTTCAGGGGGGAGGGGTGGGAAACATGTAACTGCTGAAATTGTGAATTTACATGCAGGGGATCGGGGAGGTAGATCCAATTAACTATTTAAACATGTACACTATCATACCCCTACAGGAGCATGTGCATACCTAATAGGCACTCCCCATCCAAAGTCTGGAATGGAACCTAAGAGTCCTCATTCCTCTGCCAGGAGCAACACCATGAAATACACTGACAAAGTTTCTCATTTCCCTCTAATGCTGGTCCACATACAAGATGACAACCTACAACTGCTAACTGTAACTCTGGTAGCTGAAGAGGCAGAGGTCTGTATGGTAGATCTAAACATTTCAGTTCTGCTGATCATCCAGGTAGTTGTCAATAGGATGCCAGGTGACCTTTTTTTTCCCCCCAGTTTGCTTTTTAGGAATGTATGCAAGCACAAAAAATCCTATGCTAAAAGAACATTAAAAGTTGCAAAGTAAAGCACTTAACACCATTTGGAAATGAGGTAGAGGGCCCATGGAAAAAACCATATGTGATCATGTAATTAAAGACAGTAGCATAATGCATAAGCACAAGAATTAAGGTTTCATAGGCAATAATACTGTTGTCTCAACTTTTGAGTGCTTGAATTTGCCACCTGAACAATGTTCTTTTAACGTAGTTTTTTGTGCATTCATGACGTAATATACTGGGAGAGGTTATTTAATGTGCTGGATAAAGTGCATTCTGCTTTGTTCTGCTGGATGAAATGTCATAAATGTGTAGCAGGCACCTCTGAGTGATCTTGACACTGCATACTACATTGTGTGCATGTGCATATCCATTGCATGTATAATACACTGAGTTACACAGCCAGTATATTTTATCTACACTGAAAACTCCTCACCTTTTCTACTCAGAAATATACATATCATGGCCCTCGTTTACCTAAATGAAAAACATCTTCCCAATGTTTCTTTTTAATGCTATATACCATCACAGTTTGGAAAACCAAAGTCTCAGAAAGTCATGGGGAAGGTTACCACAAAGCTTGCTACATTTTCTAAAGGGGCAGGTTGTCTCTGAACAAGGAGAGAGACACAGAGAGAGCTTACAAAGGGGTAGACAGCAGCAGCTGCTCTCCTCTCTACCTCCTTGAGCTGAGAGAAGTTCACAGCCTTTCCCTTGCTTTTCTCTTCACCATTATAAGGTGCCTGCCCTTGAGCCCAGCTGGGCAGCAGCTAATCAGACTCTGCTCCCACATAAAGAGCCAGTCACTCTGGCAGTGGGATAAAAGTAGGTAACCAGAAAGACCCTTTAGGATTACAGGGTTAGCCTTTGGGAAGATGTTCAAGAATGAGCCATCCTCCTGCAGTGTTTCAGTGGCAAACCAAGTTCTCACTGAAGTCAGCTAAAAATGTTCACAAAATGGATGGAACAAGACAATAAAATTTACAGCATGTGGCCAGTGCAAGAAAACTCTCTCACTCTGTCTAGAGACAAGTTTCTACTAGTGACCCTGGCATTAAGCTGAGCATTGAAGGAGCAGAAAATTATCTGCTACACTTATGTCTCTTTGTATAATCCATTTAGAATTCTAGTCTTAGAAGAACACAGGCCTCCACATCAGTACTTCTTCTCTAGCAGTTCCATTTGTTTTCAGGGAGAGTAAAGGAAACAGAATTGAGTAAGTATAGGCAGCATAATGGGCCCCTACAACTGCCATAGCCAGGCAGCTGGGAATTCCCCCTGGCAGCACAGACACTTAGTTGCTGTACGCCACACCCTATCCCCTTCGGCCACAGGCATGGCCAGAACATTGCTGCATTCCAACACCGCCAGCTGGTGTAATGGCACCATGGTTACTGTAATATACACCAGATGTCAAATGTTCCCCATGTAGTCTCAGTAAGCAACAAAATACAAACGTGGCCTAAAAATGCCTCGACCCTACCCACAGTTGGGCCTTATATTGAACACAGCTTGGCCGGACATGAGGACAGGGCTAGAATCAATAATCTCTGTATGGGTAGGAAGTCTGAAGAAATAAGACTGTCAAGTCATTATCACCTTTACTTTTTAAATAAAACCTCCTGATGTCAACCCAAACAATGATGGGTCCCACTGCTGCAGCAGCCTTTGGGTAGGTATATTTTCTAGTCAAAGGTGCCAATAAATTGCTTATTTTGTATATCTAACACCTTAAAAGAGTAAGTAGCACCTACACCTCAGCAATTTAATTTTTTGCAAGTTCACTAGAAAATCAAAGTTAAAATGTTCTCCCTCCCCCACATATTCCACTGGCCCCATTGCAAAAAGCAAAACCAGAAAATTCCTCCAGAGAAATTAGATTTTCTTGGGAGGTCACAGAATCTACTTTTATTTAGACTCTTGGTTAAAAATGACATGAAGAATTTCCAACTATTTTAGGTCCTGTCCACATCCGCTTCAGAACAATGCTAAGTATGACCAGAGTGGGCAGGACCTTAGAATTAAACACTAGATTGCATCTATCTCCCCATTGCCCTTAAGTTGAAACTCAACTTCAAATTTGAAAGACATTGGAAGGAGGGGAAAATAAAGCCCTAGATCTTCTGCTTCCACTGTAGAGGATATATAAAATGTCCATTATGCTGCTAATGTCACACATCCCAATAGAACCCTCATTGCAGAATAAAAATGGGTTACTAGAATCAGGTAATTTCTATTTGCACATGAACAATGACAACAAAACCACCAGGAACTGCATGACTTTAAAGCTAGATTAGAGAATACCTTGACAAGGCAATATAAACCATAACACCACAATAACCTACATATAATTATTACTCTATAAAAACTAGTGCAGTTCTCCCATAGCACCTAAACATGTGACAATGGGTACTCTATAAATGCTAAGATATAAATGGCAAAAGATATATAAGAAATAAGCGTTAATTCAAAGAGAATGCTCTTAAAGTATATTCTCATGTTGTTACCCTTATCGAAGCAGTCATTAAAATAGACTTTGAGCTATCTAGTGAAGGTTCGCAATAGGAACATAAAGATAGTACAAACCCTGATATCCTTTTGTTGATGTTGTATTGTTCACATATGTCTGATGCTAATACTGTGAGTTGAGGCCCAACAATGCTGTCCAGTTTACGGCAAAAATCCAGTGTAGGCTGCATTGAGGCTATGAAGTAGTTTCAAAAAGATGGTAAGTTTTTTCCTAACAGTATATGAGGTCTATACTATTTTGTGCCAAAAAGACAAATATGTTCTTTTGTAATCAACTTTAAGCATTCATAAGAATCTTGGACCACATTACACCTATGAAATTTCATCAACTTCCAAGGGTCTTCCAGAGAGTAACTGAAGGCAAAATAGTGCCCGTTCTCTACCATCAAGCAAAACAGTTAAAATAATCTAAGAAGTTGGTTAAAGTTTCCACATAGAACAAATTAACACACAAGACTATAATGAACGAATACTCTGAAATAGCAAAATCAGTCTAGATTATGTTTGATAATGTTTTGGTAGAGAGACAGTACAGAAAAACAAAGTTGTCAAAAGAAAATAATCTCCCTGGTTTATTTCAAATCATACAAATCTGTACCTACCATCAATCATAAAACAGACTGCTGCACTCATGGCCTGAAACAAACCAAAACAGAAAATATTTACAAAATAAATTTTCTTCCCTCAAATTTCACCAACACATTCACTGAAGAAGTTATTTACTGTATACCAGTTACATTTTGAAAAAATTTTCAAGTCACAGTCAAGCTAGAGTGTTAACAGTAAACATTTACTTCCATGACACAATAGTGGACACCCAATTTTCTATATTTTTCAGTTCTGGACAAGGTTTTTACATAAGTTATTCAGGAGGACTTTGAGAAGTAGTTTATTGTTCTAGAGGAATTGAAATGCAGTCTGACTAGGGCATTGCTCACATGCAAAATGTGCACTGAAAATCTAACTAAAATCAGTTTTTAAATCCATTTTAAATCAGTCCTAACACACGTTTGAACCTTTTTATAACTGGCTCATCTTGATTTAGCTTAGGGTTGCCACTGGCCGGAAGCCAGCTTAAGCAGCTCTGAAAAAAATACTGCTTTTTGAGTTCACTGTTGGTATCGCCATATGAAAGGGATATAGACAGACTTGCCAAATTTGCATTGATTGGATTAAACCAGAACTTCTAAAAGAAACCCAGAAAATTCAGAAAAAAAAAGTTATTTTAACTTTTAAATATGAACCCTGTGTGAGCTCTCTGTCTCACTGTTCTGATCTGGTCCTTCCACATGCACTTTTATGCATGGTTTCATAATTAAAGCTCAGCAGTGTTTTCTTCCTGGTATGTATTCATACTACATTGGAATAGAGGAAGTTTGATACCTTATAAACAATTAAATGAAGTTCTTCATAAGTGCCATCTGTATTTACAAATATTTTGGGAAATCTGCATTTTGCTTCTGGATCATTAAGATTTAAAGGTCCAGTAAGAAACCTAAAAGTAAAAATTAAACAGGACAAATATAATTCATTTTTATATTCAACAACAATTTATAAGCACATGAAAAATATTTAAAGCTAGAAATTACTTAAACACATGCCTACATTTTAATAGAATTTCTGTCTAACCAGGTACTTATATAACTCCCTCCCTTTACTACAGTATCTGACTGTGTATCCATGTCAAATTGTCACTTTTAAATTAATTGAAAGACTTGGATCCCGACTTCAAAGAGGCTACTCACATGCTTAACTTTAATCATTTGAATGAGTAAACATTGTTAGAATACACAGAAAGAGGGTTCTTTTAGATCAAGATAAACAGCACGTTGTAATTTAAGACTAAGTTGTGAGTGACCAGTGGCATTTCAACAGCCTTTCATTGATCATAGTTAGCTACTGTGCAGAGGACAAGGAACCAACTGTATTTAGCAACAGGCCCTCGAAAAAACAACTGCAAAAAACTTAGTATATTAGCATCAAAATAACTCAGAGAATAGGGAAATAAAAGCAAACAACATGTGGATGATCAGGGCAACCCAATAAATTCTCCAGCAACTTTTAAAAGGACCGTCTTATCAATGATCACTGCACAATGCACACTCTGGTACATCTCGCTCGTCTGCTCCCCAGCAATTAAATGAAAAATTGAAGACTGAAACAAGCTAACACACACCCTGAATGGGGGGGGGGGGGGGGGGGGGGGGGTGGGGGGGTGTGGACAGGAGAAGGAAGAACATGCCCATAATGTGCAAGACTTTCAACCAGGGATTATTTAAAAAACAAAACAAAACAAAAAAAAACACATACACACACACACCACACATTCTGTGCTCTGGAAACAGGCCAAGAAGGACCTAATCCATCACTCAGAATAAGGTCACACACTGGCCAAATGAAAAAAGTCTCTCACTAATGCACCTAATACACTAGACGTGCAAGAGGCAAGTCTCTAGACAGATCATTATTTTGTTCCTGTATGACAAATCTTACTGCTTGGGGGAAAGGAATTGGAGGAACTCTCACTATGGGTACATCTAGACTACATCCCTCTTTTGACTGAGGAATGTAAACTACACACTTCGAAATTCCAAATGAAGCTGGGATTTGAATTTCCCATACTTCATTTGCATAATCGCATCATGGCACTCTTTCGAAAAAGCGCTATTTTGGAAGTGAAACTGCAGTCTAGATGTGGTTCTTTTGAAAAATAGAAGCCTTTTTTGAAAGATCCTGTAAAATGAGGTTATGAACAACATGCTAACAGCAGTAAGAAAGACATAAGTATGCAGTAGGTCTGTACAAGTTCTTCACATCACAGGTCAAATTCTACACAGCCTATGAGATTATCTGGGTGTAGAAATTAACCCCAAGAATACATTTACACTGCTACCTAAACAAACCATCCTGTGTTCCAAAAGCGTAGCTTTCCTGTGAAGCGAAGAAACACTATATAGTATGACAGTTGATAAGAACTACCTTCCGTAGTGTTGTAGATTTCCTGGCATTTCTGCACGTATTGGGGAATCTCTTCCTGCTAACTGAAAACAAACAGGAAATAAATACCTTAGAATATTTCTTTCAGTTTCTCCTTATTCTGCAGTAGCTAAAGAAACTGTCCACAGTAAACAGACTGCAGACTATACCTCTCTTGCTAGGAAATATATCATTAATGCATAACGAGAAGGGCAAGAATAAATGTCAACAATATTTAGAGAAATATAACAACAAAATACCCAATTCTTAATCTGAAAAAAGTTCCACAAATTATTTAACTTTGCTATATAGCTCTTTTAATGCAATTTTATGGCTCCTGTCATCATCATATCTGAGCAAAGTCTAATGAATTTATCCTCACTCTGTGTCAGGTTGATAGGTATTTTCACTGTGCAGGTGGGAGACTGAGGCATGGGAAGATTAAGTGAGTTGCTCATGGTGACATAGGAAGTCAGCCAGAAACTAAACCCACACTTCCTAGCTCCAAGTCTAGTGCCACATCTCCCAGGCCATTCTTGCTTCCTCACTAAAATCTTCACATTTCCAAATATTAACAGTAACACAGGCTGTTTCTCGTATTGCTGGCTGAATTACATTTTATCTAGGTAATACATTGGTCACTAATCAACCATCCTAATTGAAGCCCTTAAGGAAACCTCTCAAATGATCTCAGTTTTTACATAGCTGTATAATATCCACATATTTATCCATTTCTAGTTTCCAGTTATTGAATATTCTACATTTTTTCCTTTTTATTGTTTATAGCCAAGTCTACATAGTTGCAACATTTTTTTTATGACTACAGGGGAATTGGCTCCCTTTGGGGTAACTGTTGTAACCTGTTTCACAATTTGAATCCTTACTGCTTTCTAAGATTCAGATTTTTTTTTATTGGCAGTTTAAATGCCAACAGACCCTGGTCCTCTGCAGAAGGAATTGAACCTAGAACTTCTGTCGCTCAGTGCATGAGCCTCTACTGCATGATCTAAAAGCCTGTTCCTATTAGCTAAGACTGTAGAGCAGACTCATTCTCTCTGTAACTGGTCTCGGTGCCACTAGATGGGATAGTACACCACACCCAGAAGGTGCATGGGTTACTTTAAGGGAATACTGTTCTTTTTTTCATTTGTGAACACCAACAATGACATCCAAGACCTAGTTAAGCAACCTTTCTTAATCAATTTTATGATACCGAGTTTTTGTTGAAGAGCAATACTGAATATCAGCAAACCTGAACAAAGAGGAGAAGCAAGATCAAGGATACTTCACTGAAAACACCAGTATCTTCTTATCAAAAGCAAGGGACTCAGAACAAATTAATCTGCTAATTGTAACTGAGATGACATTGTGAGAGAAGAAAAGCAGTCTTTATTTGAGGGAGCCAGATCTTAAATGAGCAGGGGTCAGCTGCCTATGACTTGCGAACCCTATTTGGTTCACTTAGGAGCCAAATATGGCTCATGGCTTGAGCTCATCCCCCCATTCTTCCCCGCCACTTGAATTGGGGAGCCCATACTAGCAATCCATCATAGCACCCCCCCGTAAGACTGGAGCCCGCACCAGCTTCTTGCAGGGGCAGAGGGAGGAAAGCCCCAAGGCTCCACGCTGGATCTGGCTTACGGGGAAGTGCACACACTGCTCCTCCCCTCCCCACAGCAACATGCAGGCTTCCTTATCCACCCTACTTTCCCCTGTGCTCCAGGGAGGTGGGATATGGGAACTACATGGTGATCACATCCAGCTGTGCCGGATGTGGCGGTGATGAACACTGAGCACGCAGGGGCTGGGGGAAGAGGACAGATAAGATGGCGGCAGAGGATCCGGACTTTGGGGACTAGGAGTGACACGTGCCTTCTTCCAGCGCTGCCTGCAGATCTTACCCAAGAGATGCTGGTCTCCAGGGCCAAGTAAGTACCAGCCAAGCTGGGGAAGCAATGGGAGTAGGCTGCTGCTGCTCCTCCTGGGCTGCCACCAGGAGGTGTGCATGAAGCTGAGGGGGCCTATTGGAGCTGTCAAGGTTGGATTGTGCT